TACCCCAGGGGTACCCCCCACCTGCAGTTCTGCAGAGAAGCAGGAGATTGTTCCCTTTCAGGTCCCCTCAGGAGACAGCCAGGCATCCTTTCTGCCACGGGGCTGGAGGCTGAGGATGGAACAGCCTTGAATCCTCCCCCATTTGGGGGTTTTCCTTTTCCCCCCTTGCTGCTGTGTTTCCTGGGGCTGCCTTGGGGTCAGGACTGATGCTGCCAGGCTGAGGCTGGGCACAGTGTTGCTGGCAGAGACTGGGGTGACTGTGCTGCATCCTCTGCACCCCACAAGTGTGGGCACTTGCTCCCTGAGCCACGCCATCAGCCCCACTGGGTGCTGTGGCTGGAAATCCTGTGTCACAAGGGTCCTTTTCTGCTGCTGGGATCCTCAGCAGGACACAGTGGGCACACTCCTCTGGGCAGCCTGCCCTGCATTCCCCAGCCTGGGGGAATAGCTGGGATTCCTGCATTTCCTCCCCCAAAATGACAGGGGCTGGACTGGGATCTGCAGTGAGCATCAGCAGCTGGCTCCAGGGAGGGGACAGGGTCCCCTGACATGGCAGGAAGCCTCCCAAGCTCACAAGAGGCTCCGTTTCAGTCTCCAGGTGTGGGCACGTCCAGGGTAGGTTTGTTTTTCCCAGCAGTAGAGGGGTGCTGGGGCAGCTCTGCAGGGCCTGGGCTGGGCAGGGAGCCTCCAGCATTCCCAGCAGTGCCCACTCATCTGGGTGGTTATTTCCTTAAAGCCCCAGCTCCTGGAGTCCCTCCATCCCCACAGGAGCTCAGCTGTTGACAGAGACCTCCCTGTGCTGGGCAATTTGGGAAGAAGTTTGGAAGGGAGCTCCGTGCAGAGAAACCCCAACGGTGGGCATGCAAATACAACCCCCTCCTGCTCGTTTCATTTTGCTGTTTTTCAGGAGGTCTGGGGGAGAGGATTGATGGACTTGTGCTGAGATTTACAGGTCAAGCTGCTGCATTTCCTCAGAGCTTGGGCTGAGCTCTGACACGTTGCACTCTGCAGAGGGGGGTGGTACAAGCCCTCGAGTGGAGGGGGCTCCCTGGGGGCTGAGTCCTTCTGGGGCCCCAAATGTTTAGAGGTGACAAGACCCATCTATTCCCTGCAGCAGGAGCAAGGGGTGAGCCTGGGATCAAGTGTAGGGCTTTACACCCAAATACAGTGTCTCCATTGCTACCCTCTACCTCTTGCAGCTCTTGGGCCTCTTCCTCCTCCTCCTCCAGCTTTCTCTGCTAGGACATTTCCAGGTTGCACAGAAATCCTGTGGGACAGCTGAGCCGAGGACTTTGGGAGCCCAACCATCACCAGGATCAGGTTTCTCAGTGCCCTGATCTCTGTGGGTTTGGGAAGCCCTCTCCTTGGGGTTGGGCTTCCCAGCTCTTGGTGCTGCTGCACCTCCAGGTGCTTGTGGGGAGGGCAGGAGGGATGCAGAGGGACTGGTCTGAATGTCACCCCCATGATGTGTTCAGAGGTCCTCACACTGGACCTGCAGAGAGCTCAGCCTCTCCCCATTCCTCTGGGCACCCTACCCAGGGGGAGGGAGCCATATGTGGGGTCACCCATGCTGGAGCTCACCTGCTTGGGTGGGGGGTCCTGGCCACAGACTGTATTCGTTAACGCAGAGTCTGAGCCTGTAAAATGGGTGCAAAACTGTGGCTGCCCCAGGGCCATCAATCCAGAGGTACTGAGCCCTGAAGATGCATCTGGTGGGGCCCCTGGTCACCTCACCTGCAGTACAGGTAATTGCAGGAGTGGTGGGGACAGGGAAATGCCCCCTGTTCTGGGGTTGTGAGCAGCTTGGGATGCAGAAGAGCTGCTCTCTAACCCCCTCCCTCTCCAGAGCAGGGAACCTCGGGGGAAAATCCACCTCTGGGGTGGCAGGGGAAGAAGGAGCAGGGCTGCAGGTGCTGAAGGGTTAACAGGGAGTGTTTGCGGCCGGTCCCTTGTCACCAAGGAGAAGGGAACAGCACTTGGGAAGGAAACAAAACACCCACAGCCCAGGAGGGTGATTTCCTTTCCCCATGCTCCTTACAGCCCTGGGACCCCAGAAGAGCTCCTGGGTGTCCCCATCCCAGGTGGCAGAGAGCAAGTGGTGCCGGGTGAGTGTGGCTGGGAGGGAGGTGGGCTGGGGACAGGGCCCAGGACAGCTCCCCACGGCCCCAGCACCCACGTTTCCATCACCCCTTGCTCTTGATTTCCTCCCAGTCTTATGGCAAAATGTGGGGGACGCCGGGCCCCGCGGCGCGCAGCATCCGCCCCTACGGCTCCAGCCAGCAGTACCTCTATGCCATGAAGGAGGACTTGGCCGAGTGGCTGAAGGAGCTCTACAACCTGGACATCGAGGTGGGCACCTTCGTGGAGGTGCTGGAGACGGGGGCCGTGCTCTGCTCCCACGCCAACAACATCACCCAGGTGGCCAGGGAGTTTGCCCGCAGCTGCCCCGGCGTGGCCAGTCACCTCCACCTGCCCGCTGCCGGCGTCACCTGCAACCTGGCAGCACAGCCGGGCACCTTCCAGGCCAGGGACAACGTCTCCAACTTCATCCAGTGGTGCAGGAAGGAGATGGATATTCAAGGTAGGGTGCTGGGCTCCAGCTGCCCCGTGTCTCTCTGTGCAATTCCCCTCCAGGTGCTCCTGGTGTCACCCTGGCTGCTTTCCCAGGTCGCCCCAAAGCTGGTGCCACCCTGGGAATCCCTAGGCTGGGATTTCTTGCCCGAGCTCCTGCAGGCTCGGGAGCTGCTTTGCAGGGTGCTGGCACACGGTGGGGGTGTTTGCTTGGGTGCCACTAGGTGCCAGGGGGGTGGAAATGGTGTCCGGTGCACCCTGGCCCCACCACGCTCAGCACCCGCTGGCCCCAAGGACAGTGGGAGCAGTCCTGGCTCTGAGCAATGGGTCTGTCACCCTGTCCACACCACCCATGGGTGCCTGGTGAGGGCAAGGGCATGGAGTGACACCCTCAGCACACCCAGCCACGGGGTTTTGTGGCTTTGGGCTGCTGTCAAACAGCCAAGGTGCCGGGGCGTGTGGATGTCCAAGGGGAGAGCTCTTC